CCGCCGGCCGAGACGCTCTGCAGCACTTGCTGCGGCTGAATGACGATCTGAGCCTGACCGGCTTTCTGTCCGTCTCCGGACGTGTTCTGGAAGGGCCTCCCGGGCTCTGATGTGTTGCTCTGGGCTAGCGTTAGGATGCCTCCCGGCGCAGTGGTCTGTGTGCTGGTGGAGGTGGTGCAGTACTCTGCTGCGGTGGTGCTCTGGAGCAGCTGCTGAGGAGCTCCTCCAGCATTTGCGTCGCTTACGGAGCCCACCGGCAGGAGCGTGATGTTGGCATTGAGTGGCACGTTGGTGAGGAACTGCGCCTGATTGGGCAGCACTGCTCCGCTCAGGCTGAGGTTCTGCAGAGGGATGGCTTGCTGGAAGAGGCCAGGGACAGTCAGGATGTTTCCAGAAGCTCGGCTGGTGATGAGCTGCTGATTGCCGCTGGGAGACGACACTAGCTGAAACTGCCCCGCTGCTGTGGACACCTCCGAAGCTGTCTGTGTGAACTGCAGCTGCTGTCCATCTACAGTCTGGAACTGTGGGATCACCTGGTACTGGAGGCTCGGCATGACCCCCGAGAGGGTGCTGAGCACCGGCTGACTCTGCAGGCTCTGTGAGGAGGCCATCACATACTGCGGCTGCAGCAGGGCTCCGGTGCTGGAAGAGCTGCTGGACACCGGAGCGCCCGCAGGGACCATGTGCCAGCCGTTAGCGGTGTGTGACAGATGGGGCTGCTGGAGCTCGATCTGCGAGTCCTGGCTCTGGCGCGACTGTTGTTCTGCCGCGTCGTTTTCATCGATCCGACTGCAGGTGGCAGCCAGCAGCGCTAAAGGGGACGGCTGCTGCGAGTCCTGGAGAGAGATATATGTTTTAGAGGCATTCCAGAAATCACTGTTGCTGCTATTTTTTGGAGAGAAAAAAAATTAGGCCAGCTAATTTACTGCATTTCAAAAGCAAACCATAACAACAACAACAACAACGAGGCCACTTCATATTAAGTGTCTTTAAATAACTGTACTAGGGATGCATCGATCTGATACTCCGGATCGGTATCGCTCTGATACTGCCATTTTCTGCTGGATCGAGGTATCAGTCAGACGAGACCGATCCAAATCCCATATTGTGCGTATACTATTCGGTGTTATTGTTAAGCCCCACGAAAGCATTATATTATAAAGCACCATGATGTTTATATATTCCAAGTGTTCTAAAGCCATTTCATACTTTAATGTGAGGTAGAGATTAATATTTAAGTCAAGCTGATGTAAACTCTTCTCTCCGCTGCGGCTGTCTGTCATCATTCAGTGTTCAAGCTACGTGTCGCGTTCGTTTATGACAGTCAAGATGATGAAACTCTCTCCAAGAGCGCACAGTAACTG